TAATATGAACCAGTGCTGCATTCAACATACCACATGACACACAAAAATCAATGCTTAACTGTGTTTTGTTAATATCTATTTTTAAATTAAGAAATTGAGTATTGTATAATACTAAAATTTAAATTATAATCTACAGTTTGATACCAAACTTATTGGCATAAATTCATGAAATAGTAGTTCAATAAAAATTTTGAATTCAAGGAAAGGGTTAAACAGATCATGCACAAAGAAAGAAATCATTAATTTTATCTAATCTAGAACTTTAAATATAACATTAAAAATCAATAAAGATTTCATATTTTCAAACCTTAATAAATACCAAAATGTTTTCCTTATTTTATCAATGTAAATTTTTCTTCACAAACCTTTTCTAAAAGGTAATTCAAGGCTGTGTCCAAAATGTCATTTCTCTCATAGAATAATACAAGAGCCAATGATGTGCCATAGGTTTTTAAGTAATACTGGCACTCTTGTAAAGCTGCTGTATTGTGGAGTTCTGCAATGTTCTGAAACAAACAGCACAAATCTAAGCAATATATATCTCCAAATTATGGAGGATACTATTATAATCAATGGTGCTACTTTATTCTTTAAAAAAAAATACTTAAAATGTCAAAAAAGTGTAAAAATACAACAAAATAGTATATAATTTTTGCCAACTTAACATACAATACATCCAAATACTACATTCAAGAAATGTTACATTAGAAGATCTTTACTGAGATCTGTCTGTTGGTACATCTATATGAAGGAAAGCCAAGTAGATGTAGACAGCTTAACTCATTCCAAAATAAACACTGGAATAACACTTTTCACTAAATGCATCATTACACTTAATACTTCAAAATCAGACTAAAGTAAAAAATAACTCTCAGAGGGTGTTGAAAAAACAATGACAAAATATTAAAAAAAACATTTAAAATGTAAAAAATTAAGAAAACATAGAATATCTCTCAAAAATAATTAAAATGCAGGAAAGATCAGCACTGTTAATCATTCAATTTCATAAAAATATTCACTTCTATTTATGTACATAACAAGTTCTTTAATTGCAATGAATATTCTGTGTTTGAAATCTCTTTTACGAGTAATGGTTAACATCCATGTATTGGCACTGACTTCAGACTTATCTAGTAAATTCTGTATGTGGTAAAATTGAAATGATGCTTCTCTTCTAAACAATCGTAAGGTATAGCACTTATACTACAGTAACAAGAAACGTTTGCAATATTCTAATTTTTATATTACTGACTCAAGAGATATGCCTGCACCTCTCTCACAAGTTATTTGAGTTTGTTTTAAAGTTAATATTTTGAGAGGAAAAAAAGAAGTCTTTTTTATGTCGTGATTGTAGTTTTTAACCCTATGTTGCAGGTTGGGGATCAAAGTTCACATAACATTTTATAGAGTTACATTCAAAACTTAATTAAACAACTTTATCATCAATTTATATCAATAAACTTGACATCAAAACATAGTTAAAAAATAAAGTTTTAATACGATATAAGTTTTCATTTCTTAACTACATAATTAAATATTGAAATAAAATACTAGTCTTCACTTTCATGTTTCAAGTGACAATTTGCTCAAATTGCCCATTTAAACATTCTTTCCACTCTCATTGGAGTTCCTGAGTTTAATATAAATTACAAATTTATGGCATAGGTTTTGGTGAGGCATAATATGATTTTATAGCCAATCATATTGATTTACAAATATAAATCAGATGTCACACCCACATTTCACATGCTCCTATCATGTACTGTCTTTCAAAAAATGTCAATAAATCTCTCTGATATCTGCTATTAAATTATTTATAACCAATAGAAAAAGTATATTTTTATTTACTGAATTATGTAAATGTTAGCCCATTCTGATGACAGCTTTTGAATTCTTCACCTACAGATTCATTGAGTTAACCTTGGTAAGGGAATTATTTTAATGCACTTTAATAGTTTAGTTAGAAAACCAGTGAAATTAAATATTATAGGAAATTATATTATTTGTGCATAATTTTATTTTGTGTTCTAAGTTAAATATTTGAAATAAATAAAAATTCAGCATAGTATGAGCAACAACCATATTAAAAATGAGGCCTAAATTTCATCAAGTCTTAAAGTACAAAACAATATAAGATCCACCCATAAGTACTAAATTTATTGTTTCTTATGTGTATTTTTGAGAGGGATCTTGACATCTGAGCAACCCAGGATCTCTGCAAGTGCCCAGGTTTTTTATACCCTTGTAAAGAACAGTGCAATGGATTGTCTCTGATTGCAGGATAGACAATCACATCTCCTTGATCAACCTGCACCTGACTCAAGCTGGGCAGCCCCAGCCAGTAAGGTACTAATCCACCACAGTCTGTCTGCCTCAATGGGTACTTAGGGCTTAAGGCATAACCCAAAAAGCAGGTCATATTCATTGTATTGTATTTCAAAGATGCTTGCAAGAGAAACATGAAGTCTATGGACACTGATCCAGAAATGTGGGAAAAAACTGCTGAGAACAGGAGTGACTGGAAGTAAGCAATTAAGCTGTGCTTCAGAAAGAAAGAGGAAAGAATATAGGGAAGAAGCAGAGGAGAACATGTTGGAAAAATTCAAAAGCTGCACAATCAACTTCAGAACACAAGTTATACATGTGACAGATGTCAGCAAACATGCTCTTCTCAAATTGGGTTATTCAGTCACACCTGGAAGCACCAACATGAGTGAAACTTTTACAGGCGCACATATCTATTGTCTTGTAAGACAATATGTGTATTTTTTACTTATTGCTGTAAAAGTAACTAAAATGTAAAAATTGTAAACTTTTGTGGTTAGGTAAGAAAACAAAAACTAAAAAGAAAATTAAATAAAATACATTTCTCAGTGAGGTATACATGTGACCTGCACTTGCAATACATAATTCAATGTTTGTTTACCATAACTTGAGCTGTGAGATCACCAAGTGACTTCTTGTTTTTTTCTGTAGTTTTATTAATTACACGTAGTTCAAAGAGCAATAAAACAATAAAATTAAATGAAAATAGATGTAAAGTGTTTAAACTTGAAGTAGTTTAGGATAACTGATTGTAATTTTATGTTACAATCTGCAGTCATTTAAGAAAGAAAAAAAGGGTAATTTAGATATATTTTGTATTTTCTGTGGTGATTACAAGGTCAATCAAATGAATTGAGTTGTCATAGTATTAGGGTAGAGGAAATAACAGAAATAAAAAGAAGTTTCACTAAAAAAAAGAAACTGTCAGTATTCATTTAAGAGGTTGTAGAGGTAAATGAACCATGAATCTATAAGATATAAAAATTACTTTTACTTTTAACGTGAAAAAAATCTTGCACTCAGACTAAACAGACACTGAATCAGACTGACAAATATTTGGTAAGAATACTTTACCACAAATTCTGAAGTTTTGTGTACAACATATTTGTAATATTTATTAAAAGCTAGCAAAATTTTTTTGAAAATAAATCAAGTAAATTCAGAATTATAGAATTTATAGTAAGCATTAATACTTTAATATGGGCTCAGTTCAGTGGACCTTCCCCGTGCACGTAAGATTAATCATTCTTGGCTTTGATTTTATGTTTTGAATGCCTTTCAAAATATTATTAATTTATTTTACATATTTTTCCCAATGAAGAATAAGAATATTGTAATACATGCTTTCTGAATGTAAGTCGGTTTTTACACTGAGGTTCAGCTGTGATGTTGTAAGATTATAGTACTGTTAACATGCTTGTACAACCACAAAAATAACAATAAAGTTTTGGTTGTCGGTGCTTTTTGTCTATATGTGCATGTAGGTTGGTCAAAAGTGTACCAGGGGCTTAAGTAATGCATATAAGACTTGTACAATTTAAGAGAGTAATATGAAAACCCAGAGTCATTAATGTGCAAATCACATCAAGTAAGGAGATTAATCTAATATAATATATGTGTTTGATAAGTCCACCTTCTAGTTGAGCAGATGCTCAGAAACTGATTGAAGTTTCTGAAATATAGAGTTATGTGACCCAACTGTATGCTAAGCAGCAAACATTTTTAACAGATTGACAGCACTGCACATGTTATAAACATGGCAGAGTGGAATGGAGAAGTTTCTGCCAATGATGTAGCACATAATGAAACTGAGACCAGTAAGCAATAAACTTGGAAGTTTGCACCAATCACACCATATGACCCCATGAAGCTTGCACTATAGTAATAATACTGCTGATCTGTCAACACCAAGGGTTAGACATCAAAGTGTGGTCAAGGTATAAAAGGATGTTGTACTTGACCATTTCATGAGATTTTGAAAAACCTTGGCATTTCAGAGGCAGTCATATGATTGAAAATACACCCATATAACACTAATGAATTGTTCTCAAGAAAACACATTTGACTATATGTCTCATTACTTAATAGTGTAAATAACACAAATGATAAACTTCCTACTGCAGAGGTCTATACATGTTAATTTGTTTTATCAGCACAGTTGCACCTATTATTAGACCCCAGTAGCTAATAAATCCCAGAAATAATTTGATATTAAAAACAAAATTTTTATTTTTTGCTTATATTAGCATATGCTGCATATTTAAAGCTTAACACAACATATAATAACTTGTTACATTCAAATATTCTCTAAACTATTTTTTATGAAATGCTTTCTGGTACTGGATATTGCTCTGGCAGAGATCCCATGTTTAGAGAATGATAACTCCACGACCAAAAGGCACATCAAAATTTTTTTTGATGAACTACTCATATCTATCTACAGTCGACATAAACATTGTAAATTCAAATAAAACAGCACAATAAATCAACATTAAAAGGTTAGTCAATACATGTAAAAATTGTAACTTACTTGAATGTTTCCAGCTTGAATACTTTTTAGCCTGGCCAGTGAGCGAGAAATCCCACAGCCCTATACATAACAGTTTTAAAAGTAAAAATCTGTCACATAATCAGTGTGACAAAAATACCAATCAACTAATTAAACGTTTTTGGGGAGAAAACATCTAGAACAAAATACAAAGGAAAAGTTATAAATACTCTAAATTAAATATATGAAGAGTTAAAAATGTAGATTATATTTTTTATTTGATATACAAGATAAATACATTGCATAGAAACATAAACTTTTTGGTTATATTGTGATGATTTACTTTCATGAATTTTGTGAGGTACAACAGGATGTTAAAACAAATCATTCACAAAAGTGTTTGCATAACAAACTTCAAATTTTAAATGTGCATAATCACATACACTGTTAACCAAGGCTGACATCTACCCTAAAAGCAACTGATATCAAAAATCAGGTTGTTTATATAAGACAGAACAGGCCTTGACAATTCCACTTGTCCACTTATATGTAGAATAACTGCAGCACTAAAAATAACAGGCAGACTTCAATGAATAACTTATTTTCTATCATTTATCATTCAACTGTCACTGTTTTCCATATATCAGTATATGTATTTCAGCATCACAGCCTCTGATGCTGTTACCATGCACAATGAATGGCCCAGTAATTATGATCATGATAATGAAAAATCTTAATTTTATGTACAGAATAGCTAACACTTTGTACAACTACTACTTATTTTATCAGTAATAATAAAGCATCTGTACAGAAATATTATCTTTATATAGCATCACAGCTTTGTTTGACAGCCAAAGGCACATGTACTTATTTTTGAACAACTCTGTACACCTTTGCATATGCTGGCCTCTCATGTTTTTCCTAGATTCTTTGTATATTTAACTTTACTAGAACGAGAGGTCAAAATATCAATTATTGGATTTCAGCACATGCATATCATATATATATATATACATCATGCAATGACCATTGGTTAATACATAGGTCAAAGGACCAATATTATAAATAGGCTATTCATTTAATCAGCAATTACTTAGATCCCTCAAGTAAATAATTCTTATTTGCAATGTTTCAAAAATGTTCAGAGGCTGCTATTGAGAATATTGTGTCTAAAGTTTTATTGTGTTTATTATGAATTTGAAAATTATATTGTTGGAAATATCTTATAGGACAAATAAAATTTGTGCAGAATGAGTAAGAAATTCTATTTTATGTGCCCTGCAGGAAGAGTGACCTTTTCAAACATTTTCTGGTGCTGCAGAATATAGAAGTATTACTTGCAAGCAAATTAATAAATGTTAACAATATGACAACTTTTCATTAAGAATTATCAACTTATCTAGAGATTTACTGCCAGCCGGTACCTACTTCTAGTATGTCAGCTATTCAATGTATATTGAGCAAACAAAAATAATGTTAGCCAATAACAAGCTAAACATTCAAACATTTTTGTTTAGATTTATACTAATAAGATTGAATAATTTGAATTTAGATAATGACTCATTTTAATTCTACAAAGCTATCAATATGTCATGAATTTCTCTGTGTACTAGCACTGATAGCAAATATAGGCAAATTGACCACAAAGAATGTCATAATTGTTTATATTTAACAAAGAAGGTTGATTCCTAGAACAACTTTTACAAAATACCAAACATGCAATAAATAGATGCTTAACAATATTATTTAACTGTGTCAGAATTTTAAAATCTGATCTTTACCAATTGTCAAAATAAAAAGGCTTTTAATTATATTTCTTAATAGTACAAATATATACTATGTTGTTATTGGGTTTAGGATGTTTGTTTGTGTTTGTGACTTGTTAGCAATAAATTCAATGATGAATAAACAGCACGAACTTCACTTGTTTTCAAAATAATATATATATATATTCAGAAAAAGTTAACGTACGTACAAAGAATTCTTCAACACTATAGATATTATGGACATATGATAAATACTATATATGTAGTTCTCTCCTTCTTGTCAAATATCCACTTAGGCCTATTCAATAACTTTAGAATTTCAGTTGACAACACAAACTATCTTCTCTATTTCTATCGCACCAGTACTCTCTGTGATTCACTTACAATTGTGGTGTGAGTTACCGTAATCATTTGGTCTTCTTTTTTTTTTTGAAGATACTCTGCTCCTCTTGCCAAAGTGCACTCAGGCTGATTCAATTACTTTAAAACCATGCTTTAACAGATTAAAATTATTTTTCTTATCTTCTTTTCTACTATTAGTTTCATTCTAATATATTAAACGTTAGACCTATCACTTCTACAATAGTTAACTTCACACCAACTTTATTCTCTTTTGTTATTATCTGTCTGCTGCTTCCTGCTCGTCTCACGCTATTTATATCATTACTACTTACTCGTCTGCCTGCCTTCTATATTCTTGATGTCAATGAATTATTAACAAAACTTCCTACAATCGTCTGCTTTTAACTCTTATTATAACAAAAACTAACAATAATAAAATATTCACTCACAAAAATAAATTAATCACTAATATCTAAACCAAACAGATTTTTATATCATGACAAACTGTGTTGAATATGAAATTAAAACCTTTCTAAGTTATTTATTCTTGACAAATTGACAGATGAAATCAGAGTAAAAAATTAGTCATTACATTGTATGTCTAAAAATATATACAATTGAGCAATTCCATAACAGTAGTTAAGCATAAATAGCAACAATCCAGAACAGATTTTTTACTATTTTCCACCTTGTTCAATTTTTGAACTAATAAAGTTTTTGCCAAAAGATTGTGTTGACACCAATATTGCCATAACTTTTTATCTAAATGACAACTCCACTATAACTTATGAGAAAATGGTACAAATTCTATTTAGTTTTTCATAAGGATGAATTTTATCATATTGCTGTTGGAAACAATTTAATATATATTATAATCATTGCAACAGTGTCTCTACATTTTAATTATTAGAGTAGTAACAATATATCAAATAAATTCTAAACAACTGGTTGACAAAACATCTGCTTTTAAAACAAACCATTTTAGTTTAAACCTTGTCTTACGTGGCTAATTTGTGATTTATTATAAACAAAAGTTAACAATATTCAGTACAGAACACATATGTTTAGTCATTTTTGAAATTCCTGTATATAAACTTTTTAAACGTCATCATGAAAATTCTGAGACTATAGACAGGCATATATCTTACTACTAAAAATGCAGTAACAAAAAAATTACAATTTTGGTGTACTAACCTTATGAGGAGAAGGGTGCTTAAAGTTCTCTAAAACACTAACAATGTCTTGCAAGAGTGGGTTTTCCTGATGCTGCTGATTTTTCTCCTTTTCAGATTTACAAAAATAAAGTAATAAACATCAACTATCATATAGCTTTTGTACAAAGATAAGATAGAGGATTTTCATAACACAGAAAATAAGTGAATCATGTACTATACAATGAAGAGAAGCAAGGAACTATCTTAAAGTGAAGGGACATCACAAGCAGTATGTAAGAATAACATTTCTCAATTAAAACATCAGAATAATAATTTGTACTTAAAAATAATGTTATACCTATATCTGTGTATATATATATATATATATATATACA